CGAACTAACGGTGCTCCACGACTATATTTCTTGCTATATATTATGAGGTTAAAACTCACAACAGGAAGGTACGACACGACTAGCGTGCCATCGGGGCCACACAGGCTCAGGAATAGTTTTGTTGTGCTTATATTTTTTGAGAAAGATAACTTTGTCGGGTCTCTGAGAAATTTTGTTTGATTGGACGATATTGCTTGGCAAAATCTATCCCTTAAACTGAAAGTCAGCATTGCAGCGAGCATGACGAAACGTAGTTCTAAATGTGCACAGATACGCGATGCTAGGAGGTGGGGAAGGGATGTGGAGGTAGCAATGTGTGACAACAGAAGACACGCATCTTTGGTAAACAGACCGTATGAATGCTTTGCTTTCAATCGGCAAACAAGTGTTGTCAGAAGTGGTGTTTAATCTGATGCGTCTGACATATGAAATGAAACTTCAGGGCTAACAACTTCAGGCTGACATCAAAGAGCCGTTGTCTGAAGGCCACGGCGAGCGCAGCTGTGGAAGGAACTTGGAACAAAGAACGTAAATCACATTGCAAAGCAATAAGTCGGCCCCATTGGTGTCCGGAGGCGAGATTTCTCAACGTGTCATGGGATCGCTGATTGGCCACTTAGTCAGTTTTAATGCAGGCAGCTCTGTATCCGACACTGCAGATCCAGACTGGGTCCAGCGCCTGGCATTGCCCGACTGCAAATACTTGTAAGGGATTACGTGCATGCTTCGGCGATGTTTCCGTAAATCTTATCCCGCACAATACCGCCCAGACGTACAATGTGCTGTATAATGTCCCACAGCAAGCTTGAAAATAACTTACTTTGGTGGCGTTCATACGTCACAATTCTTCTTCATAATGCTTACGGCTGCAAATCGGTCAACCTGAGTTATGCCTCCGTCGGGCGACAGAAGTCTAGGGGCGTGTGGGTGCTATTTTGGTCCGGTGCGTCCTCTTTGACTGGGTTTGACCTTCTCAGCCGCCACGAATTTTACAAGGAAAGAACGACTAAATTTACCATAGGTGCTAAGCCAAAGACAACGTTGCACGGGTTCACTGGCTGACATGACATTGGAGCACACACAGTCACAGTGCAGGGCTTTTTGTATTGTCAGGACGTCGAGTGTATTAAGTGAAGTTAAGCCCGGGTGACCAACGGCTGAAGACCATGGCTTCTTACAGTGCAACTGGGTGTGCACTCACACCACACATCTATTTATTATTTTACGACTATCAAGAAGCTGCAGATTTGGAATACTTAAGACCATTGTACCAACGATCCCCTTTTTATCATCGCATCACCAATCTAGCGCTTTCTCGTACGGCACGAGACACGCTTCCATTCCCGACGCACCCCGACCCGTCCGCCACATCACGGCGTTCGCCGACACGGCAGTCAGCGGGTGCCACACTGCGTCGGTCCCGAGCTCGTTGACGCTCGCGATCCGCGGCTGTCGGTGTCGATCTGACCCCTGACATAACCGACCCAGACAGGGCTCGTCCACCCTCGGGCTCGCCGCCCGTCAGCCCTGACAGACGACCGCGCTATCACGGCGGCAGCACGCCGGCTACGTCGCACGTGCGACGCCGCGCCAGTTCGGTGCTGCGCTCGCCCAGCGCCGCGGCCAGACAGCTAGCGGCTAACGAGCTTTCCGCCAGGAAAGGCATGTGTGTCATGGTGAGCTGAGCAAGCTTCGGTGGCGATTGACGTCATTACTGCGTGTCAATGTAAGCAAATGTGGAGTGGCAGTCATGTTCGTCCTGTTGTACTCTCCGATCTTACGACGCATGTTGTTTGTGAGTACATCAGCGGCAACTAACATATTTTCTTCCCAGGACAGTAACGGTGGTTGTATTTCGGACATAGCAAATACATTGACAATGTACTCTAAAACCTTCTGATAGCTGCTAACTTACCTTCTGATTGACAAGCGTCCGGGCGTCCGGCCGGGTATTGCATCGCTCCTGCTCTGCCGCTGCTGGTTCCAACTCCAGTTTGGCCGAACACCATCCTTGGCGCTCGCTGTCCCCCAGCGGGCGCCAGCATGGCGCGATGTTTACGCTCCGTCACCGCGTGCACGCGCGCCTGTCGCCGCGACGGCGGTCCGGGTGTCATCCACCCGTCAGGCGGAGTCGCCCGACCTCGCCAAGCACTGCCCGGACGCGGCGGCACCACGGCGTCAGGAGCGCCCGAACGTGCGGCTCCGGGCGTCGGCCGTCCGGACTCACGCGGCATAAAGTTAACTGGATTACGCCGCGGTTCAAGCTTTATTATTGGGGCCGGCGCATGGCCTGGCGGGTGAGATACAATCGCGCCCCCGCCGCGAACCGCTTCCTTATTGGCTGCAGGAGACTTCGCTGCACACTATTAGGCTCGCGCCGAGCTGGCTTGTGGGTCGCTTGGCGGAAGGCTCGGCGGGGAAATTGCAACGACAAATCCAACTAGCGATTGCGCGCGAACTGTGTGCGCGCGCGCGGTGCGCACTCGAAAAGCGGGCCGTGTTTCTATGGGTGGAACGCAGCTTGTCCAAAGCTGGGTGAGACGCACGATTTCTTATAGGCTGGCGTCTATATCTTATACGATTTCTTACGCACGATATCTTATACGATTTCTATAGGAGATGAGAAAAGGAAGGCTTTCGACGCAAAATGTTAATTTGTACGTTGTTTATGTCAGTTGGAAATACGTTATTTCAAACAATTCACGACGCTTAATTCCAGTTTCGTGTAAGGACTTATAAGCTTCTTGGACTTGCAAGCAGCTTTGCACCTCTGTCCGTTAGAATGATGCATGCCACACCGCATTACACGCACGCGTGCCGAAGTGCGTCATGCTCTTGTATATAAGAGACGCTCTGGAACCAAAATTGGGTTGAATAACCCATTGGTGCCATTTGCTGCGTAATATGGCGCACTTATTCAGCGTTGCGATTTAAAGAACCTTTTAGCAGCGTGTCGCGAGCAATCTCATACTTCTACGATGTGCGGAAATCAGCTTCCGAAAAGCGACGCCCATGTGCCACGTCCATTAGTGTAAGCGATTCGCGAAAAATCCGACGTCGGGCTTTTGGTGACTTCGCCTCACACCACACCGCCCACAACCTGCCGTACCCTTGCGGCGAGAGTGACAATCGAGGATGCTTGCTGAGCAGACGTCGGGACGAGAACGGATCCAAGCTTCAAACTTTGGCGCCGAGTTTAACATACCGATCCGTTTAACTTCAAAGCCAAAAAGAAATAGAGGAAAATTTACCTTGGAACCCTTGGATAAGGGGAAGACGCAGTTAAAAAAGCTTTCTGACTTCCCACAAAGGAAATTTTATCAGAAGACGAACCCACTTCTTGCGCCCCTCATCGGGAGTCGCACCCACCCCTGCGCCCCTCATCAACCCCTTGGAACCCTCCAGCGGCGTGGGAGGTGACGGACAACGCTCCATAGTCCGGGCTGGTCGCTCGCAGTGCTTCCAGGACCGGGCATGCAGCACCACGGTACATAGGCGTCACTTTCCCCGACACTTCAGCAAAACTGATACGCGACAGCGCCACTGGCACGTCACGTGCCGATGTGACACAGCATCTCCTGGGTCCGCGCGCTTAGTCAGTGGTTTATTTTCAGAAAGGATGGTCAAAGGTCAGTTTACCTTTGGTCAAGCGTCAATTTGCCTACGAACAGATCAAAATACGTTTATCAGCTTGGCCGAAACGGTACGTGAGCAGCCTATGCAATGATTGTGTCCGTTCTAACGGGACAAAACAAGTTTTAGCCCACGCCCTACCGGGGCTTCCCGACCGCCTCGCTCTGCGGGGGGAGGGAGATCCCACGGGCTGTGAGTGAATAAGCGAGATAAAACAGTGCAGTTAGAAGACCGCCGGAGTAATTGCCAATCAAATTCTCTAAGGAAGTTATGCTTTTTATTTCTCATCAGTAGGTGACCTTCCAGGTAATGGCAATGACCTGAAGGCCGGCCAAAATTGCGAAATCGGGACTTTCTTAGACACAATACTCTGCACCAGAAGCCCACCCTGCAGACCAGTTTTAGCCACAGGAATGGCCATAGCCACGACAATTTCTCGGTGGCTTTCCTCAGTCTTTTTATGGTATGAAATGACGAATAGATGGCCCGCGCCAGGTGGTCCTGTCGCCTCCCAAACGAGCTTTATTTTCCTGCAGAAAATCTCATCATTTGTTTTTGCGAACCATTTTGCCAGAATTCATATACTCAAGCAAAACTAAAAGATCAAAACACAAATTTTGAAGTTAACTAAGCAAAAATCATGTTTTAGGTCGAATTTAGCAGACACGCCGACCGCACAACGGCAAAAAGTTTCCTCGACGTCAGTGTAACTTTACTTGACCCCAGCACCCCGGGAAAAGACCAACTTAATTGATCGGGTCCGAAGACTCACTAAACTACCCTTTTTACATGCTGGTAATGATGCTCCCTCTCCATGTTATTTTCAGCCCAACCTTTAATGATGATCAATTTCCAATGTGATCAGTGATGATCAAGAATGATCAATTGCCAACTACTTGCGTTACGAATCCGGAGCAGATAGAAAAACGACCGATAACTCCTGCGAACCTTCGGCAGTGGCCCCGTGAAAATGATTTTCGTGACGTGACGAGACACGAGGTCGCAACTGGCACCAAAACGTGGGATTTTTTTCAAATGCGTACTGTGGCGGGCGGCGGTGCGCCTCTCCCTACTATTTTCCTGCCACATCGGAAATAACTAGGTGGTCGATTGTGACTTCCCGGAATGCGATGGTTCGGAGGTATTCATATTGGAGTTGCACCGTTTTTAATATATTGCATTTTTATTCGCGATGCTTAAATATTGTTGGCCATCCATTATGCCCGACCGCGACGCCGGATACTCCGCTCGAGCTGATGGGTCATCAGACGCTGAACACTTAATGGCTTCTTATGACTCTTTGGTAGAGGACTTAAAGGGCGCGTAGCCCTGTTCGCCTAGGCTTTCTTACCATTTATGTGCGATTGCAGTCGCGTCGGTGATGATCATATCCGTCCCATGACGTTCATGGCTTCTTACTAGCATAATGACTCTGGACTCGATTTCACAGGTAGATTCAAGATCAAGACAAAGACAACGCCGTGGCGATAACGAAGCCCTTGGAGCAAACGCTTTAAGATGTTCACAACTCTCGTTCTGGCGGGGGTGCTCTCCATCTGCACGGCCTTAGGGGAGGCACGGACCAACGGTGAGTGTCGGCTGCGCCTGCGGCAGACATCATGCAGGACGGAGCGCAGACCTGTGACAGGTCCGGGCAGGGCCTGTGTCCATCAGGCAGACGAGCGCAGACCTGTACAGAGCCGGGCAGGGCTGTGTCCTGTCACGCCCAGGCAAGGCCAGACTTGCATGCACTGTATTCTTCGTGCAGAGAACGTTGTGGATATACATGATGCCTATCTGATGTACATTCGGGACTTCAGAAAACGAGGCATAGCTTTTCTGTCCATTGTTTGTGTAAATAACTCAATACACTGTTTACCGGCAGCAACGCCCCTACATTGGCATATTGTTCTTGGTTTGGTTTCATGGGACATGTAAGTAGGCAAATAAGTGAACATATACATACACACACACATTATTATATATATATATATATATATATATATATATATATATAAACACACACACACACACACACACCACCACACACGCAACACCACACACACACACACCACACACACACGCACCACACACAACACATACACACACATATATAATATATATAGATATATATATATATATATATATATATATATATATAGATATATATATATGTATGTGCTTGTGCGTTGCCTGCGTGCGCGTTTCGTTTTGATGCCATTGGAAATGACAGCATATCGGATATCGCTTGATTGATGTGTGCCATATGGATATTCACTTGCTAACCTTGGTGGTGTGGTCGTAGTGTGGCCGGTATGCAAGCTTGGTAGGCGCGCGCCGGTGGGGCATTTATGCCAGTAGACAACGTTACTCACTTTCTGAATCAATTAGTTGCGTACAGGCTGTTCTCTTTTACTATGTTTGATAGTCCGCGACTTTTGCAGTCAACTGTAAGCTCAATGTTGCCGTCCCGCCTTTGGGTGGGAATAATTTTCTTGATATCATATCACGAACAACATTCTCTTCAGCTCTTATGCAGTTAACACCCTGCTATCGTGCTACAGTTTAATCTACGTGTCTATCAGTTATTCATCTAACGATGGGACACGATTAATTTGGTGAAAAGAATCCTAAGAAATTACCTAAGAAACAAGTCAATTCCAGCTGTGGTACAGTATGACGTAATCACACCCCAATTCGAATTTGTGATGAAATGAAATTGATCAGTGATCTATGATAAAATTAAATCGCTAGGTTCAATGATGATAAGTCGGCACAGCTGAATGCACTTTTTAAAAGCAAAGAACGTGACACTGGTCGTCACAATTCTTTTTTGAGCTCCAGTGACATGCTGAGGCCGTCCTGCTCAACATCACGCTCACATTATGTCACGTTGGAGACGCCACACGACCGGCCGATAACAGAACCGTTTATCGCGGCGAGTATCCCCAAACAAACCTATCAGCGAATCATCACAACAGAGCAGCGGCCATGCTGGAGTTTGAGAGCCAATCAGCGCCAAGGGAACACCCGCGGGCAGAACTGCACGTCAGCTTCGCCTCGGTGCATAAAAAGACACGCCCTCCAAAATATTCGGCCTATTCAGGACCGTCCATCGTCACATAAGATGGATTGGAGAGCGGAGAGAGCCAGAGTAAGAGAGCCCGGTACCGAAACACGGAAGGGGAGGAAGCGAGGAGCAAAACCTGCGGGAGAGTGGCGCGCTGTCTCTCTCAGGACCGTCCCTCCCGCACCCTCAGGCAGCGGCAACTGGCACTGGCACTCGGCGCTCGGCAACCGAAGTCATTCGGAAGTGGAAGGAACAATCGGATAGCTGCAGCCTGCTCGCCGTGTCTGGCCTTCTGTCTCTCTCCTCAGCGTGGGATTTCTCTGCGAAGCCCACGCTCATTCATCAGACGTGAACTGGATGCGAGAGCGCAATCATACAATGTCTGTTTAAAAGCCCATCATGAACTAAAATCGGATGCTCAAGGAGCCGGGGAGCGGCACTGACACGCGCCGCGTGCGGGCCAGGGCTACCGCGCCAGGCAGTAGAGAGGAAAAATTGGCGATTAGTGCAATGGGGGGAGAAGATGTAGGCAGGCGCAAGCCAGGGCCTGGCTCCAGCATGCTCGTTTTAAAGCGATGTGCATGAATGTTTGTTTTTTTTACTGATTTTTATCGGCACACACAATCGGCACCAGGCGTGGTCATTGTGATATAGCGCGGATCGAGGAAGCGAGGAATGTCACAGCGCGATGAATGGTGGCGGACCGGATCACACGCAAACCGGAATCATGTCTCTTCGATATGGCATCAGAAATTTTCGTGACCCGTACAATTATTTTCACGTGACATTGGAGCCGTGGGAGGAAGAACTGTGACATTAGACAAGTAGAAGATCGTTTCGCGACGCACACGATTTTTCATGTTAACTTTAAGTTCGAAAATAACTTACTTTGTGATTCAACTCATTATCAACCGATTGGACACCTATGCACTGGATTGAGGCTGTTAAGCCTGCTTAGAAGTAAAATCAATTAGCGTCGCAGGACGGGAGTATTTTTGAAAGTTTTGTCTGTCCACATTCGATACGGGGCAATGAATCACTCCGAACAGGGTCATCGTTAGTTCTGCCCCGGAAATTGTCGTGATTGCTCGATTCATTGGCTGCATATGGACCCCTGGTGCAGAAAAACAGTAACTCCTGAGCGTTTAAGGGTAACTGGATTCAACAATTTCGGACAGAGGTCACACGTGATGGGCTTGAACTTCATCCGGATTAAATTATTCACTTCTATGCGTATTTATTATGCGTTTTATTATGCGTATTTATTATGCTATTTATTATGCGTATTTATTATGCGTATTTATTATGCATATGCGTATTTATTTCCATTCACTTTAATCTTTAACTGTCTTCTATGCTTGGCACCTCACTCGATATTTAATCACTCAGCTTCGTCACAGTTATTCACTAATTGCTTGACGCTAGCTGGAGTAGCAATCATGCTCGAGCCCGAAGAAGTAAGTGCGTTTGAAGAGCATACGTGCTCGCTTTGATGCTTCGTAGTGCGCTACAGAGCGGCGTGATGAACTGTCCTCTCCAGACGGCAAGGCCAGTCTCATTCGCGGAGAACGGTTGGAGGGCTACGATAAGAAAAACCAGTGCCAGTACAACTTTATAGACGTTGACAACCCGCGTAAGTCGGGGGTAATACCGCGCAAGGCACTAGTCAAAACACTTATGAATAGCGTCATGCTTGGTGAGGCCGGCAATACAATCTCGGCTGTATAGATTCAGGCTGGCAGGAGCAATGAAAACATGCTCTCATTCACGGCCATGACGGTGCCTGGGCGATAGCTAAGAATAAGAGCCACTCCGGGTCGTAGGACGAGGTTTTTTTGCTGCACGCTGCTGTCCCATTGGCGCGGTACCGGATCTGTCGTAATGCAACAACTCGACATGTCCAAAAGAACCGCGACGGCACATTACATCCGTGAGTTCAAGGGTTCTAAGGATCCCATTTAGAAAGGTTACTATGAGTCAGTACTACTTTGTGCCGTTTGTATCACTGGGGGACTAGAGAGTTACCGGAGCGAACTGAAAAATGGACGAACAAATGAAGCGTGAGGTATGGGGAGAATCGGAAAGAACTCGTGAAACAGGATGAAAGAGGGTAAATTATCAGGATCTGCAGGAGCAACAGTAACTCACGCGTGCCGAAAGGACGAACGAATATTGAATATAAAACCAGCTAATGTTTAAAGGGGATGTTTCACATTCGAGGATATTGGAGCAAGCATCACATATGATGAAACAAGCTCGCTTATAACCACTGGAACGCTTTTTAAGTGGAAGAGACTGCTCTAGAAAGCACAGTTCCCTGTTTAATAAAAATGTTCCCTAATGCGTCAGGGTTTGATAACGCGATTGTACCTTGCACAACATCGAGAGCCAGTCGATGGCCGTTATGCCTGGAAATCGTGCTCACAAACGTCATATAGGAGCGCTTCGTCAACTCTATTTCCTTGATCTTGATCTCCGCATGGCTTATGGACTGACAGGATTTGAATAGCGTTATTATGACATCATAAATACCAAGGTGACTTCAAAATACCATCTACGACAACCTTTCCCCATTTTCGCGGGCGTTTAGCTCAGAAACTAGAGGGGTTTGGATATTGAGAAGGGCAGGATTGCAAACAGCACTGAAAGGTTTTCAAGATGGTTTTTTTTATTTAAAGCCGAATATGGATGTGGAACACTTCATTTAAGCCAGCTATTGTTTATCATCTATAGATACAGTGGCGGGAGTCATAGGGGAGACGCTATACAGTGCGCGCAATAAACCGATTCATGTCAGTCGGCTGTAGCGGAGGATAGGGGCCTCCACGGGCACCTGTTTTCCCCATACCCAATCCGCCCGCTGCACATGACGTTTTACCCATACGGGCACGTGTTATCCCACACCCAATATACCAGCCGGACATGACGTTTCACCCCAACCACCCGTTACTTTGATCCTTTGTAACCTACTGTTGGAATTTTAAAAGCATCTTATTGATAATTTCCGGAAGAGCCTTACAAAAGTTTACACCCAAAACGTGCCCCGTCCCATTCATAGTTGCAAAAGCTGAGTGAATGGAGCCCATTGCGGCTAACAGCATCGCAAGCAGGAACATTACGTAGTCCTTCGTGAAGCATTTACCCGGAATTGCATAAACATCTTACCTATACACGTATCCGTAAAAGTAATTTTCCCGAATTATGCACCCAAACCATCTCGTTACCCACTCTATGTGCGTGTCCATGGGTTTACCCGGCCGGTGGATCCCATTACAACGGACGGAACACTAACAACTCCTCTCAATTTCATTATGTCAGTATCGTGACGTCAGCTCTTCTTCTGTGCAGTGAAGTTACCTCTGTGTCCCATCAGGTTCCGGCCGGCCCCTCAAACTGTTTGTAGTTCTGAGATGAACACTGGGTGCTGCGCATTTTATTGGAGCGAATTTTTTTTCGGTGGTCTACCGGGCCAGAATGAACGACGACAAGTCGTGAAAAGCTTTTGCTGGATTTCGAAC